GCTAGGAGAAACAAAGTTAAAATTGTCAATAGTAGAGCAAAGTGTAATAGAAAGAATTCATGCAAAAGAAGTAGTAAACTATTAGAATCAGATTATAAAATCAGTAGCATTAGTAATAAATTGGTTGAAAAAAGGTATTCTACTGTTTTTAAAAGAGGTAACAGCATTATTTTTTAAGAAAGTTTTATGACAAAATAGGTTTACATTAGAGAAAATAGATTGATTAGTAGGAAAATTGGATCAACTTTACAAATTAGAAACAATTTATCAAATATCTCTAGTAAAAGTATGGTCAGAGTATTTGCTAAAAGTAAGCTTAGTATCTTTGATTCCAAAGAAGAGTCTAAAGAAATATAGTCTAGTTGTGGATTTAAGATGTTTGAACAAGAGATTACTAAAGAAGACAGTATAGTTTAAAGATTTAAGTTTGTTTTTAAGATTGATCAGATAGGATTAGTGAATTTTCATATTTAATTTAAGCAATGATTACTATTATATAAAGATGGATGATTTTGCTTAAAGATTTCTAAAATTCAGGCATAAATAAACCTAATATTATTATGTAGTTCTTTTTTTCAATCTCTTTTAGGCAGTTTAGATCTTCTTAAAGATTATAAGAGCTCTAATTAGTTTCTGAAAAACAAGAAAGATATTTTATAGTAACTATCTAAACTATGTCTGAGTAGTCCACCCAAACAAGAAAATATTGTTAGAAATCAGAGATACAATAATTTTAATAGACCCAGAAGGCTGTGTTTGGATAAGAGCTTTAGACAAAAAATAGTAAGAACCTATACAAGTAATAAATATTTTATATTAGAGATAGATACAAAGTTGGCTCAGATTCAGATTACAAAGAAAAGTTAGAGCTAGTAAAAACTGAGTTAATATTATTAACAAAGGTAGAGAAACTAAGCTAAAAGAATCTAGAATTTAGCTTATGCATTTTTTTTAGCTTAGATAAAGTGTCTGAAATTCTACAGTTTAATAAATGCTCAAAACTAAGAGGTTTAAAATTGAAACAAGATTGTATTATTAACAGTTTAAGCAAAAGAGAACATAAGTTGATTATGAAAAATCTGAAAGTTGAAATGACAAACTAGTATAAAAGCTATTATTAATGAAACTAATCTTTGTAAATACTTCAATGTTAGATTAGTGTAGAGTAGTAATGAGCAATATAATGATTATATAATTGATAGCTAAAATTTAACCCTTATATATTTTTATAAATTATTACATATTATTAAGTAATTAAGTTATTAATTATAAGTAAATTACATATATAATTATATGTACCAATTATGCATATACCAGTACGATCATATGAAATATGTGAGGGATGGTTCCGTTCAACTTTTTGGTGAGCTATATTTTTTCCTATT